CTCCGCCTCCTGGGTTCAGGCAATTCTCCTGCCTCAGCCTCCTGAGCAGCTGGGATTACAGGCACGCGCCACCATGCCCAGCTAACTTTTTGTATTTTTAGTAGAGATGGGGTTTCACCATGTTGACCAGGATGGTCTCGATCTCTTGACCTCGTGATCCACCCGCCTCGGCCTCCCCAAGTGCTGGAATTACAGGCTTGAGCCACCGCGCCCGGCCGCCAGGCTGGTTTCTAATGCCTGATATCAAGTGAAGCACTTGCCTCGGTCTCCCAAAGTTCTGGGATTAAAGGCATGAGCCACCACACCAGGCCTCCTTGACCATTTTTAATACTACTTCGTGATAAAAAAATCTAAATACTTTGGAAATAGATAATAGTGATGGTTGCACAACACTGAGAATGTAATTCATGCCACTGAATTGTACACTTAAAAATGGTAAAAATGGGGCCGGGCGTGGTGGCTCACGCCTGCAATCCCAGCACTTTGGGAGGCCGAAGTGGGTGGATCACGAAGTCAAGAGATCGAGATCATCCTGGTGGACATGGTGAAACCCGGTCTCTACTAAAAATACAAAAAATTAGCTGGGCATGGTGGCGCGTGCCTGTAATCCCAGCTACTCAGGAGGCTGAGGCAGGAGAATTGCCTGAACCCAGGAGGTGGAGGTTGCAGTGAGCCGAGATCGCGCCATTGCACTCCAGCCTGGGTAACAAGAGAGAAACTCCGACTCAAAAAAAAAAAAAAAAAGGTTAAAATGATGAGTAGTAGTTCTTATAAGTTTTATCACAATTTTTTTTTTATATATAAAAATGTTTGTTTGGCCGGGAATGGTGGCTCACACTGGTAATACCAGCACTTTGGGAGACAGAGGCAGGTGGATCACCTGGGGTCAGGAGTTCGAGACTAGCCTAACCAACAACATAGTGAAACCCCGTTTCTACTAAACATTCAAAAAATTAGCCGGGCATGGTTGGCAGGCGCCTGTAATCCCAGCTACTGGGGAGGCTGAGGCAGGAAAATCACTGGAACCTGGGAGGTGGAGGTTGTGGTGAGCCGAGATGGTGCCATTGCACTCCAGCCTGGGCAACAGGAGCAAGACTCCAAACATATATACATTTGTTTAAAGAATGTAATGTTTGCAAATATTTTTAAGAATAAAGAGAAATATTTTTGTGGTCATTGAAAGTAGTATAGTATTTTGCAGTTTAAAAAGTAATGACCAAGCATGATGGCTCACACCTGTAATCTCAGCACTTTGGGAGGCCAAGGCAGGAGGATTGCTTGAGTCCAGGAGTTCAAGACCAGCCGGGGCAACATAAGAACCCTCATAGGAAGACATCATCTCTACAAAAAAAAAAAAAAAAAAAAAAAAGCAACCAAAAAAAGTGGTGAGACCTCACCTCTACCAAAAAAAAAAAAAAAAAAAAAAAATACAGACATTAGCTGGGCATAGTGGTACACACCTGTGGTCCCAGCTACATAGGAGGCTGAGGTGGGAGGACGGCTTGAGCCTGGGAGAAGACTGCAGTGAGCCATGTTCACATGACACTCCAGCATGGGTGACAGAGGGAGATCCTGTCTCAAATAAAAATAAAAAAAGTAATGTCACATGTGTAATCTTATTTTCTTTCTTCCCACAAACCTTGCCAATTAAATTCTCACATTAAAGTTTCTATAAGATAGTTTTACTGGTTACTTAAATCAAATGTGTACAAGAAGGCTATAGTCCCCTTTGCAGAAATAAGACATTTAAAACAATTAAGATTGTTTCATACAATAATTTCTATGTTTCTAGTCTTACTTTCTACTTTAAAAACCTTTTATTTTTGCTTTTTTAAAAAAGTTTTCTAAAAATTCTATTACTTTCAGAAGTCCTCTCTAATAACGTAAATTATGGGAAAAGTGTATTTAACTTTCTGAAGAATTTGATTAGTATTTCTGTTTCTTCATTAAGCTGTTCCCCTCTCCAATAGAAAGAAACAAAGAAGTACTTCAATCGGTTTGACTTCTAAATGCTTAAACACACTTAAAAAACAACTCAGTTGGCCGGGTGCGGTGGCTCACACCTGTAATCCCAGCACTTTGGGAGGCTGAGGTGGGCGGATCACGAGGTCAAGAGATCAAGACCATCCTGGCCAACATGGTGAAACCCCGTCTCTACTAAAAATACAAAAATTATTTGGGCGTGGTGGTATGCGCCTGTAGTCACAGCTACTCATGAGGCTGAGGCAGGAGAATTGCTTGAAACCAGGAGGCGGAGGTTGCAATGAGCCGAGATCCCACCACTGCACTCCAGCCTGGCACCTGGTGGCAAAGCAAGACTCTGTCTCAAACAAACAAAAAAAACAAACAAAAAACTCAGTTTATTGTTGCTGTTAAATAGTGCTTGATTTCCTTTTTAGATTTTTCTACAAAAGAATATTCAAAAATGGTAAAAAAAATTTTAATAACACTGTTTCAGCAGAGTGCATTATTATTATAGATATTTTTATCATTAGAAATTAAATCAGAAAAGTAGCTAGGTCCAAGTTCCACAAAAAATGTAGGGTTCATAATTTGCCTGTGATCGCAACATCTTGACACAAAGACATTCTAGGTTTGCCATTAGCCTCAGCTTCTCATCAGACAAAACCAAGCAATTTTGAGGCAGTAACATAAGTCACATATCTGTGCTGTCTGGCACGTGGGAGTCACTGAAATAATTTAGTTAATTCCCTTCCCCAAATTTCTCCTTGATCTATTTATTGAAGGATTTATGTGAAACAAGGTATAAAGAGATTAGAACATAGAACTGAAAAAGCATTTATCAGGTGTCCTGGTACCTAAATTATCCAGAAAGAGAATAATATATGGAAAAGTAGTACAAAGACATTACTTAAGTGCTATGTTTGTACGCTACTAAAAATGATAAGATGATCAGAAGGCAGTCAAAAATTTAGATGACATTTATCAGTTTCAGATGTGCTACCTTTCAGAGTGATCACGACAGTCCAATATTTTCAGTTTCTGGGCTTTTATTTTAGATTTAAATTTTGAGTATATTTAATTTGCTATCATCACGATTTTCATAGCATGTTTTCTCAAACCATAAGTATAATTTTAATACAACCAAGTGAATTAAAAATTATCTTCCCCATAGAAGCATAAATATAATTTTAGAATGGAAGTAAATAAGAATATTGGAGTCTATATGCAAAAAAGACCCTACCGTACATATGAATCCATAAACAATAGCTACAGTATATACACTTTTAATTGAACATTCTAAAATCCTTAATATTTCTATAAAGGTATCCGCTAGCCTAGTCAAATTCTCCTCTTAAACCATACTTTCCATAAACTGGTTATTTTTTCTTAAGTACGTCTAAGTGAGTCTCATGTATGAAAAAAAGGAAGTCCTAAAAGTACTAGTTGAGCTCTGAATTAACTGGGTGAAGTTTTCTAGTATCATGTCCAACACTACCATCTTTTTGAAACTTGATTTTTGCAATTTTGATTAGAATTGTTTAATATGTACATTTGCCTTCTTTATATTTTTCCCACCATCACTTTTACCCAATTTGTATGTTTTTTATAACTCTGTTTCCTCCCTTCTCCATACCAAATTGCAACTGGAAAATAGCTTACTCACTTCTTATTTTTTAATTTTAGTTTTTGTTTTCTAAGATTCCAAGCAATAAACATCCAACTGACCTTCTCCTCTGTAATGTTTTCTCATTATAAGCTCTGAAAAGGCTGCATGATGGACAAAGTGGCTCATTTTAGAAACCGCCATGATCTGGCAAAACTCTGTAACTTCTGGCAATATATTTCTTTCCTTGTTATATAAAGATAAGTTGATTCATTTTTACAATTTTTCTTTTTAGTAACAGACATATTTTATACATTGTTATTACCTAATAAATAATCACTAGCAAATGAAAAGATCACGTAGTAACCCATCATTAACGCCAAAAGAAAGATATTAAAAAATAAAATCTGGATTAGACCACTAATTTAACTGTTATTACTATTATTATCGCATCTTGTTTTTGTTCCCCCCCATTACATAGTGCATTCCTGGTGGTGGGGAAGGATTTGAATAATCTACAGGCTTGATGTGACTAGCAGACATTTTAGTGGAATAGATGAACTTAATATAGCAAGCTTTCAAATTTATTTATGCAGAATAAGGGGAAAATATCTCAGTGATAAATAAAAACGATCTTTAGTACTTTCGAATCCTAGCTCCTGCAGCAGAATGCTATTGTTCCTGAGTTAGTCAATTAGAATCTTTTTTACAGTCTTCCTTCTCTGTATGGTGGTCTGAATAACAGCCCTATCCCATCCCTTATATCCGTGTTCTAATCCCTGGGCTCTGTGAATAACTTATCTAGTGAAAGGGACTTGGCACAAGTCATTAATTAAGGATCTTGAGATGAGGTATTGTCTTGGGTTATCTGAGCATCCCCTAAATGTACTCGTAAGCGTCCTCATAAGAGGCAGGCAGAAATGGAAGCAGATATTCAAGAGATGTACCCAGGAGCCAAGGAATGCTGACCCTAGAAGTGAAAGCTAGAAGAGTCTCCCCTGGAACATCCAGAAGGAACCAGACCTATGGCCATCTGGGATTTAGTCTCTTAAGGCTTCTTTTGAACTTCTGCCCCCAGAATTATAAGATAAATTTGTGTAAACTACTGAGGTTGTGGCAATTTGTTACAGCATCTATAAAAAACTAGACCTCCATGATTCTTCTATGATTTGAGAAAAATGTTCTGCATTGTCAGCTTGTGGATTTTATTTTGAAGTACTTTCATGAACATAACTTAAGAAAAATTATTTTTCCTTAGTTATTTGAGATATAAAAGAGTTTGTTGCAATTAATCTATTGGGTATTAGCATGTCATCATCAAGAGACAGCAAACAGCAGTGAAGATAAAAGTTGAAAGAAGACATTCCATCATTAAAGAGTGATTTCTATGTTTGAGTAGCCAATTCAATTAGAAATTCAAAACACAAGAATCTTGCAGAAATCAGCTGCCAGATTTATTAATCTACCTGAAAATAAAAACATAAAAACACAACCAAACAAAAAGTGGAATAAAAACAGAACTTCAAAAAATTTTAGATACATTTTTCAAAAGAGTTTATAATGTAATATTTTCAACCCTTCTGCATTGGAAACACACTTAATGTTGGTCAATTATGTATTTAGTTCAGTGAGTCACTACCTTAAACGCAAAACATATAGTTTGTCCTTAAATGTTATATGGTGAATACCATTTTTGCCATTGATCTCTTGTGATAACACATGGCCCAATTCTTCCTCACTGACTGACTAAAACTAGACTATTAAAAAGAAGAAAAGGAGAAAAGGGAAAAAGAAAAAAATGGAACAAAAATAAATCCTCAATACAGTTTTCATTCAGAAGATATTTAAAGACTCACTTAAATTTTCTCCTTCAATTTCACCAAATCTTAATTATATATCTCAATTATTTTCCCAATAAAACTTTCGCTGAATATTTTAACATCTGTTTTTATTATAAGTGCTGTAGATGGCCACATACGCATAGTAGGAGGAAAAGGTTCTGATTTTTAAGGCATAGTTTTCTTTTTAGGTCCGTAACAGGCCAAAATAATATATGATGTATATGAACAACAATCATTGAAATCGCAGGTTACATACATATTTTGAAATTGGAGTATTTTTTGTAGGATTAAATGTGAATAGTAGCAATTTTGGTGTTTGGGTTTCTCAATAACTGTTCATTTAGAGAAATGAGCTGTGATCTGTGTAGTTTTGGAAAATCGGTAGCTGGGGAGGATCATCTTTAAACAATCTTTTCCATGCTCATCATAAAATGCTTTTATAATAGGTTTATTTTGACTTTGTGTTTAGAATTTTTTTTGCATTTTTCTACAGATTCTTTAAAAAAGTTGTTCTTCTGGAATGTTACCGATAGACTGAACAAAATTCATGTTCCTTGACCGAATCTTTTAGAAAGGTATTCAGAGATCCTATATTCCCATTTACTCATGTTTTTTTGAAGGGGAATGAAACACGTACCACTTTCAATATTTTCTCCAAATACAAAACAAAAACAAAGCAAAAATCTTTGAAACTTTAAATCTTTAAATCTGCTTTCAAACAATCCAATCACATTTACAGAAGTGTCCAAAAAGAGATGATGGATAATATCAGTGCCAGCACTATGTCATACAGCAACTTCCTCGTATTTTTTGATAGTTTGTAAATAATTTTCCATATCACCAAAAGTTACAAAAGGTTCCACAGTTTCCCTTAGCAAGCTGAAGCTTACTCTTCATTTGTCAATGTGCATAAAAGCTGCTTATAGCATGGCGTAAGCTATTTTTTAAGCAATAAATGGTTTGAGTCATCTATTTTGTCCTGAAATGCTATCTGTAGTTAACTGCATTGCTTATAAATGGTCATAGTAAATTCAGCATGAAAGAGAGTATTACAGAAAAGAGAGCAGCAGAAGCATTAGCATTATCTAATATTTATATATGTTATCAACATAACACAGCAGTAAAAGGTTTAAATGCATATCAATGGGTACCATGTCTAAAAATTACTATAGTACCTATTTAGTGTATTGGATATTTTTCTTAAAGAGTGCTTGCTGTAACTAGAACAGCATAATATGTGATTTAGTACAGTTAATTCTTATTGATTAAATAATGTATTTATGTACTGAATGGAGTGAAAAGGAGACAGATATTTTTTGCTTCATTTTGATCCCAGATTTAACATTGAAGTGAAGATTCCAAAGGACCATGACGTGTCATTATTTAACTGAAATGGGTTTCAAAATATTTAAAAGACAACATGATTTGTATCTAAACAGCAAGGTGGCACCAGATACACGTAATGCTACTGGCCTATGACTCAGTTTGGAGCCAGAGTCCAAAATTGTGCCCCTCATTTACAGTCATGGTGATTACTCAACTTCAGAGAGAATTACCCATTTTATGGTTATCCTCTGCAAGTCATATATAAAGCAAAACAAAACAACAAACGGCAAATGCAATTGCTAAATACCTTTTTACAAGAGGTGCAAAAACAGTCATTTCTAACAATTAAACTGCCATTTACAGTAGATTGGGGTTTTTTTTTTTGTACACCTGCAGAGACTCAGAAATGATAGGGGAAAATGCCCAAGGCAGATAGTCTCCAAGTGGATATTTACACAACGTGAAATTAACTGTACCATAGATACCCAGAGAAAATAAACATTATCTTATGTTGTTATGAAATCAAATAGACATGATATAGTTTCATCATACTCAAAACTTGTAGGACCCCATCCCAAGCCTAAGTAAAAAGTAATCCCCAAATCCCTCTGCCCATTCACCCATTAGCTTCCTGTTACACAGAATAAATGTTTAGATTACTCCCACCCACCTTCAAATAAAGTGCACAGTCCATGGCAGACCATAGAATAATGCAACAGGAAAAGCCCCTTTTTGTGTATTATTATTTAAAAATAAAATACAAACAACAGAAACAAAACAAAGATTCAGCGATTCTCTGTATCTTGCAGAAAAAAGGAAAAGCGCAAAACGCCCGGCGTGACTGTCACTTGTGTTAATACACGTAGCCTTCGTTGTAGGGGTGGGGGTTGCAGCAGCCCCCTTCCGGCATGTAGGCCATGCCCTCATCAAAGTGAGAAAGAGGCACTGTGTCCTCCTCGTTGATGTGACGTTCCATGTCTGTCTTCAGCAGTGGGCGCTGATTATCTGGAAAGGCCATGGAGAAAAGGGCTTCTGGATCACACACGAATTTGTAGACATATCTCTCTCCAGCCACCTGATGATAACATGGAAGAGAAAAACCCATTCTCCCCATTACGAGACGGGGAAGGACAGGAAAGGAAAAAAACAAAAACACGGTTTAATATACCAGAAAGGATGAGTAACTCTGGTCCCAAAAAGGCAAACAACTAATAGCAGGTACACATATAAGGAAACAAAAAAAAGTCTTTACTGTGTCAAATAAGCTACGTTCAGACAAGGGAAATGCCATATGTTGACCTTGAATAATTGATTCATTCCAGATACAGCTAGGAAGCACAGGAATTTGCTTGTTTTAATATAGGGGTCAACTTACATTGTTGTTTTGAAAAATAAAAAATCAATTATTTAATGCAGGCATTTCATATTGAAAGTTATTTTCTGCATTTTTGAAAGGCAATATCTACAAATTTGTACTTTTAAGCTATACGCTCTCTTTTAATATTATGTATCTGAAATGGTAGAAAAACTGAATTCAAAATTTAAAAGAAAAATGTGCTTTATTCCCAATAAGACTAGACTAGTAATTCACTGATTCACAGAGTAAATTGATTCTTTACTTTTTTTATTAGCACTGTGTGTTTTCACATTAAAAAAAAAGAAAGAAAGAAAAGATACATAGCCTTATTTAAATGAAAGATGGATCAAAAGGACAGCATCTTGGGTACATCACTTTTAAAAATGAAGGCAAGATGCATTAGACAGAATTAAGGATGTGTGTAAAGTGTCAGATTGAAGTAAGATGTGTAAAACAGTGAAAGGAATTTAAAATACACAATACACAGGGAGGAAATGAGAAAAAGAAATGTGACAACTGCCTGGAATAAAGAAGTAGCATAATTTTTAGAGTATGACATACCCCGAACTTAAATTCTAAAGAGTAATGCTTCCCTAGAAAATTATAAGCAATTGAGTGAAACAAATAACGCTGAGATGCTCTCAAAACCCAAGGGGGTGAGTGGATGAAGACAGTTGTTTGTATTAACTTTGATAGTAACTTTGCTTGGGCGTGTGAAGGCATGAGATTTTAGAAAGCTGAAGGTGACACAACACCTCCATGTTCCTGCGTATCGGCAAGGCATTTGATGGCTGATTTTGATATGGGTCAACAGTGTCCTGGCTTATAAAATATCGTTATATCTTTGGCGGAAAAGAAACAATTGTCAATCAACACTGCTGCTCTGAAATCAAATTTAGAACGTTCTTTTTTTTTTTTTTTTTTTTTGAGGCGGAGTGTCGCTTTGTCACCCAGGCTGGAGTGCAGTGACACCATCTCGACTCACTGTAACCACTGCCTCCCAGGTTCAAGCGATTCTCCTGAGTAGCTGGGATTATAGGCAGGCAATACCACGCCTGGCTAATTGTTGCATTTTTAGTAGAGACGGGGTTTCATCATGTTTTTCAGGCTGGTCTTGAACTTCTGACCTCGTGATCGACCGGCCTTGGATTCCTAAAGTGCTGGGATTACAGGTGTGAGCCACCGAGCCCGGTCTAGAACTTTTTTTTTTCTTTTGCCCGGAATTTAAGTCAGAGGAACCACTTTAGAGAATTCAAATAATCTCAATGTTCCTAGGTTTGAAGAAATGAATATTAGTAGTTTTTATGAATTTGGACCTGTTTCTTAGACTATCTCTCAGGGGCCTTTTCTGTGAAATGAAGACAGAAATGGCGCCTTAGAAAGCGGCATTTCTTTTATGTGAGGTTGGGATGGAAGTCTCCAGCACAGAGCACTGTGGTATAAACAGAGAAGTCTGGCATACATTTATTTACTTTAGTCCTTTATACAAAAGAAATTAGGATCTTAATGGCGAAATGATAAAATGACCATAGGCAGTATCAGGAACAAATATGAGGTAATAAATTCTAGTTTTCCTTTATTTTTTCTTTGTTCAAAGTATTTTGAGAAAAAAATAAAATAAATGGCCTGCATACCTCTGAGTGTTTTATAATGCGCTTTGCTTTGTTCGGAGCTGTGGAGTAAGAGACATTTGCTTTGTATTGGACTTTGATGGGTTGCCATTGGCTATACTTAGAAATTATGTAACAAATGAATTAAAATGTATAACATGCAATCAAGATTATACAATCTCTTAAGAACTCTGCCTTTCCTGCTTCCTTCTGCATTCCTTTTGAATAAACATTTTTAGGGTTACTACTTCATTTTTTGGACTAGGTTAAACACTACTGAGTTTAGAACAAGGGATCCCAACGAAGGTCTTCCATTATTATTAATACAATTACTAACGTAAAAAATGCTGTACATTAAGTACAGGCAAACTGCAACACTAAGACAGACAGTAAAAAACAGGCATTTTTCAAGGGACATAAATCAAAAGTAAAGAAGAAGATAGCTTTAGAGCTGTGCTTTCAATGGCTGGGAATTTAAATTATGTTTTATCATTTAAAATTTCAGAAGTAATATGGGGATACCGGATGATAACTTAGAAATTAGTGACTAAGTTAAAATAAGAAGGATCTGTAATTACATCATCCAGAATATAATCACCATGAACATATTGGTATATACCGTTCTAGGCATTTCCGAATTTTTAAATATAAGTACACATAGGCATTGTCTGTAAGGTAAATATACACTATTTCATTGTTTCTTACTTCTTCTGTAATTACTAAAATTAATGACCAGTTTTCAATTTTTTTAACATGTTTAGATGTAAGTTATTTTTATTTTTCTCTAATCTTCTATTTTTTATGTTACATACACCACATATGCTCACAACGTGTTTTTTTTTTTTTTTTTTTTTTTAAGAGACGAAGTCTTGCTCTGTTGCCCAGGCTGGAGTGCAGTTGCACAATCTCTGCTCACTGCAACCTCCACCTCCTGCATTCTAGCAATTCTCCTGCCTCAGCCTCTAGAGTAGCTGGGACTACATGTGCCTGCCACCATGCCCGGCTAATCTTTTGTGTTTTAGTAGAGATGGGGTTTCACCGTGTTAGCCAGGCTGGTCTCAAACTCCTGAGCTCAGGCGATCCGCCTGTCTCAGCCTCCCAAAGTGCTAGGATTACAGGTATGAGCCATCACACCCGGCCTATGCCCAAAAAGTTTTAAGTCAATGAGCAAATAGGGCCATATAAATATCTTCTACTACACGTTAAAATATATAATTCAACATCATAGTTTTTGCTATTTAAAAAAGGATAGCAAAGTTTTCCTCTGAATGACTATGCTAGAATACATTCGAACACCAGAATGGTACACATGTGAGAATGTAGTAAGCTGGGTGCAGTGATGCAGGCCTAGCTACTCAGGAGGGTGAGGCAGGAGGACTGCTTGAGCCCAGGAGTTCAGGGCCAGCCTGGGCAACATAGTGAGACTCTTGCTCTAAATAAGTAAATAAATAAATTTTTAAAAGTAAAGAATGTGAGCGATGCATTCAGGGAGTCAGGGGTATGGCAAGGAACAGAAAGAAGATCGTGAAGGAGAAGGTTAAGTATAGCCATAAAAATTGTAAGGGGCCTTGATTGTTGTGCTAGTTACAAATACAGTAGCCCTGAACTACTGCATGTCCATTAAACAGCTTGCCCTTTCTTACACGATACAGTGATACCCCAAAAGGTGTATCACACTGCACTTTCCTTTATTTGCTAATAAACGGGTTGTGAATAGTTTCCTCTAACAATTACAGCCAATTGTGGAAAAATTTGAGGAGCAACAATATTTTAACCCATCATTCAGTATCTATGTCATAGCACTTTGCCTTTTTAACTTATTAAAAGAAACTATGTATAAATGTGATATGGGATACAAGGATGAATAAAGGAGAATGAGGAAGCGGAGATACTAGCAATAAGTTTGAACACATTTGAGAATATTTAAGTCCAGGCATGACAGCCTAGAGATACCCTGTCTACCACTGTATCTAAAAGCTAAGGTGTCGTTAGGGATCTCATAGTAATTTTTAGTTCTTTGAGAATGCTCCCTTTAATAAGAGACTTAATGGTCAAGAGAGATATGCCAAATATGCCTTGGCTTACACTGACTCCAGGATGTGAGATGCGCTAAGAGCTACCCTTTATTGGAGACTCTTATTGTGCCAGGTTCAATGTAAAGTATCTCAAGTACATTATTTTGTTTAATAATCACAGCAACTTTAATGAGGTAAGAATATCACCATTTACTAGGAAGAGAATCTGCTCAAGAATGTAATCTGGTGAGAGGCTAGCATTCAAACCCAGTTCCTGACTGCATTATTTTCTACTACTGTGCAGTACTGCCCAGGGAAACTGCTGAGCACCATCTGTGACAGCCCAGGTGATGTGCCCCTGCATTAGGAAGACGGTGGTGAAAAGAAAGGAATGGAATGTATTTAAAAGGATCTGACTACAAAAAGGTAGGTGAGGGAAAAGGGAGGAATTAAAAATGACCCCAGAGTTGAGATGAAAAAGACAGGAGGAGAAGGTAGCAACCCGTTACATATTTTGAAGGTGTGATTCAGAAACCCCAGGAAGCAACTGAAAATTGAAGTCAGCCTTTTCTCTTAAGGATCATGGAAGTTCTAACTTCTGAGCCAGTAAATTCTAGCGCATTGATTCTCTATGTTCTAGGAAAGTCAACAGTGCTATTTTTCGCTGCTCTAATAAGCTTCATGTAGCAACTAATCTAGTTTTTCTCAGCATAACTGTGATGACAAGAAAATATGCCACCATCTATAACATGTAACTACGTTTACCAACCCTAAAATAAACAAATGATACAGAATAAAAATGTAATGTTCACAATAGATAAATCATAAACTTGGTTCATAGTCAAGGCAATTAGATTTTTGTACACACACAAAGCTAAAGGGCGTGATAACGAATATCCACGTTTTACCTTCATTCATTGATTTATTGCTTTCTTCAAAAATTATATATTTTATTTTAAGTGTAATTCACTTGTTTTATCTCTACTCTTTTCTAAAAAGCTACTTTGGCTGGCCGCATTGACTCATGCCTGTAATCCCAGCCCTTTGGAGGCCAAGGCAGGCAGCTCACCTCAGGTCAGAAGTTCAAGACCAGCCTGGCCAATATGGTGAAACCATGTCTCTACTAAAAATACATAAATTAGCTGGGCGTGGTGGCACACGCCAGTGTCGCAGGAGAACTGCTTGAGCCTGGCAGGCAGAGGTTGCAGTAAGCTAAGATCATGCCACTGAACTCCACCCTGGGCAACAGAGCTAGAGTCTGTCTCAAAAAAAAAAAAGCTACTTTCAAATATTTTGGGAAGCTCATTTAAAATAAAATATATTAATCTTCCACAAGCCAAATAAGATCAAATATTCATTTTTAATAAATGGCTTAGGATGTCAAAGTATCAGATAAAACTAGGCAAGAAGTGAGGCAAGGAAAAAAATGTTTCTACAAAGGAGAAAATTAAATGTCTGAATGTTTTAAGAATCAAAACAAGGAAAAAAAGTAAGAATTTAGTCTAAGATTCTTTATTGCTGTAAACAAAAGCATAAACTGTGGACAGTGCAGAAGAAAAACTTCTGAAGATACATGTAATATTAATACTAAAACAATCCTTTTTAACCATGTGCAGCAAAGTAGGAACTTCCAGAAAGCCTGTTAGTTGTATATAATATCACTACACATTTGTCTACAATGTCTATGCATTTTTACCTAGAAAGGCTTTTAATACCAAAACCAAGAGCTAAACATTTGTTAAAATGACTGAAAACCTTGCTTCAGCAATGCAATGATATGTGGCATTTAAAGTATGACATGCAGATTAACATGCAACATTTCAGGGAATTTTAATGCTGTATTAGCTGCTCACCTTTTGCATAATTCCTTTCTCATAGTAATAGCGGAGTGAACGGCTAAGTTTATCATAGTTCATAGCGGGCCTGTTTTTTTGAATGCCCCAACGTCGGGCCACCTGCCACCAAAAGAGAATTACATTGTAGTGTTAAGTGTTAACTTATCAGCATGTTTCATAAAAATTGGTTAATTAGTTAACTACTTCCAAACCCACAAAATAATGTTCAAGTCAAGGATATAAGTAAAGTAGCAAAAGCTACCATCATCTGATTTCCTGTGTCCTGGTTTGCTTTTTTCTTTTTTTGAGATGGAGTCTCACTCTGTCGCCCAGGCTGGGAATGCAGTGGCACGATCTTGGCTCACTGCAACCTCCACCTCCCAGGTTCAAGCAAGTCTCCTACACCTCGGTCTCTCGAGTAGCTAGAATTACAGACCTGGCTAATTTTTATGCTTTAAGTAGAGATGGGGTTTCACCATGTTGGCCAGGATGGTCTTGAACTCCTGACCTGAGGTGATCCACCCGTCTCGGACTCCCAAAGTTTTAGGATTACAGGTGTGAGCCACTGTGTCTGGCCTGGTTTGCATTTTAAACCAGGTGGGCAGTGATCATTCTGAAATGCTACAATAGAATTCTTTGTTACTATTGTTTTGGATACAAAATTATATGGAAATAAGGGAATGTTTTTACAACAGGCTACACTTCACCAAAATCACGAAGTTTCTCATTTTGAGATATACTATAAAGAGCAGCTTAGTGATCTCCTTGTAAAGGTGTTTACTGAGGTTATGATAAACCAAAGGAAAAAAGATACCCTTCTCAATACTATAGAAAGTGAACAAGTGACAATGTGTATAACAGAGGAAACACTATACCAATTAATAAACCAAACTGCAAATAATTTTTATTGCCTAAAGGATCAGCAGAATAAAATTGTGGGCAATATTAAACTGGTGAATTATGCATTGATTTAGAGAACAGTAATTGGATGCTAAAAATAAGAAGGAAGCAGAAAAGGTCACCATGTATATGAGTCTACAAACAAAAATCTCTAAAGCAGAATGTCTACTTTGCTGTTTAGTAAAAAATCTCAGAGCTTTTTATGATGTGGCTTTGGAGGAGCAATGTATTAAGATAGAGTTCTTCAGTAGTGCTTTGAAAAAAATCATCTCTTCTCAATGTGTTTATACATATCCCTACCTCATCACCACCCCAGGCTAGTAAAAGCATTACACAGAATAGGGTAGCTTGCTTTTGCTACCCCAGCTAAGGTCACTCACTCATTAATTTCCACTTTTTATTAGTCTGAGCAGAAACTGTGGCTGCCATGCAAGCCTAGGCAACCCCAAGAGGGCATGATCTAATAGGGCTAGGGAGCACCTTCATTTCCATAAAATTCCAAGTTGTTGCTATGTCATATATACTAAAATAGAATGCTTTTCTAAAAGATCATTCTGTCTCCCTTCTTTGTTAGTAATAACCTTTCTCCAGGCTTGTTTTTTACTACCTGTAAAAATACCAATCCTAGCGATTTTCTCTCAGTAACTTTTATTCTCTGAATGAAGACATAAAGTACTTTCACCACATGCATCAGTATGCTTTTTAAAGAGTAGAGAGATGTGATATAACAGGGACAACATTACATATCCCAGCAGACAATCACAGTGGCAGGTACATCTTAATTCTCCAAAGATAAACTTCATTTTAACATAAATCTTCTGAGCAATAGGGAATTGAAGCAGGGAGGAGGGTGGTGGGGGGCAATAAGAAATGAAAGCATTTTTTAAAGAAAATCTCATTCAAAAACCTAACTATGGATATCAATAAACCCTTAGTAGGCATAGCAGCGGAAGAGCATGCAAACTTGGAGGGGATGTGAAAATAAAGTATTGGTATCCCTTAAACAATGATTTCTGAATTCATTTATAAATGATTATTTTCTAGAAACTCATCAGGATGTACCTAGAAAATAAAATCCTCACAACAACTCTAAGACAATGTTGTGGATGTCTCTGGGGAGAGAAATATGATTTTTAAACATATCGCAAATGGCGTTTGATGCTTATCATGCGGATTCATTCTCAGCATCATGAGTATATTTTGTAGAGGTGGGGTTTTAACTATACAGGCCAGGCTGGTCTCAAACTCCTGACCTCAAGCAATCCACCGCCATGATGAAACCCCACCTCTACTAAAAATACAAAAATTAGCCAAGTACGGTGGTGCTCACCTGTAGTCCCAGCTACTAGGGAGGCTGAGGCAGGAGAATCTGGGAGGTGGAGGTTGCAGCGAACGGAGATCGCACCACTGCACCCCAGCCTGGGTGACAGACCGAAACTTCGCCTCAAAAAGAAAAAAACTGTTTCCTGGAACAATTGCCTAGGAGTCATGATTAATTCAAAAATAATATTTCATTATCTCAAATATCTCAGAAAAAGAGATATTAAAGATTATGTGTTTTCGAATGTTACCCAGAACACATTGAGCAGATAATCTGTGCAGGCCTGGAGTCTCACTCAATATCATTTTGAACTGAAATACAAAGAAATGAAACCCAGGCCGGGCCGGTGGCTCACGCCTGTAATCCTAGCTCGTTGGGAGGCGGAGGCGGGTGGATCACTAGGTAAAGAGATGGAGACCATCTTGGCCGGCATAGTGAAACGCCGTCTCTACTAAAATACCAAAATTAGCTGGGGGTGGTGGCATGCGCCTGTAGTCCCAGCTATTCCGGAGGGTGAGGCAGGAGAATTGCTTGAACCTGGGAGGCAGAGGTTGCAGTGGGCTGAGATAGCGCCACTGCACTCCAGATCCAGCCTGGCGCCTGGTGACAAAGTGAGACGGGCTCCAAAAAAAAAAAAATAAATAAAAGTAAAAATAAAAGGAAATGAAACCCATCAGTAATTTCAACAAGATGGCTTCAGAGACGTCTTTCACCGACTGTGAAAAGGCACCCAATGAGCTGCTGGGCAGTAGAGGGAACAGGGTGACCACAGGCCACACAGACTAAAGAAATTTCACAAACCCTTTCCAAAGAAGAAATTTAAACAAGACCCTACAGACATTGCCTGATGGAAGTAATTGCAACAGTCAGCAATGCAGCAATCAGATATGGGATGTTTCATTTTGAACAAAAAGCCTTAGGAGACATTCGCAGTGCTTATTGCGCAATTCCCATTGAGTTAGTTATTATTTGGAAATGCTCTACTGACTCTGAATTAACCAGCCCCTTTTTAACTTTATGAGGCTGCTACAGAAAAGTTATCTAGATGTCAGTTTGTTGTATAGTACAGATGTAATTTACTTCTTCCCTGCATTTAAAAACCTCTGTAACTCAGAATTTGATGAAACGTAATGGTCATCTGGTCAAATCTCCTACTTATTCAAATCTGAACATCATAAAAGTCAACAGCTGCTATATAAAAAGGTTAATCATTTGCAAAAGAATTGTTGTTCTGAGTGGATCAGAAATACTGGCATAATTCAGTCATTTTTTCCTATCTGAATATATATGGCAAGAACCAAAAAACAAACAAACAAAAAAAAACACCCCTCTGCTCAGTTTATTGTAATCACAGGTGGAGGGAAGTAACTGTTTAACTGATACAAATCCCTGTTGAATGTGCTCGGTTCCAGCATGAACCAACTCTTGCAGTGATTAACATCTTCCATGAGGTGAAAAGCACACACTCCCATTATGTGAAAGGCTTTTAAATTACTCTGTTAAATGTTTCTAGTCTCAATTTTTTAGTGCTTCACATTTTTGTGGTTCTTTCACTTACATCATTTAAGTATATCAATGAAAAGACTAATCTTTGACAGCTAAGTTTTAAACACACTACAGCATTCAAACACCCAAACATCATCCTACGTAATGAGAATTTTCAGATTCTATAATCTGTATGTGTGTGCTTGGTATGGGGCAAGGGAGATACTGCAAAACTACCACCTGGTGCTACTAAAATATTGATACAAACTGAAGGAGACTTAATTGTTCTAACCAGTGCCTCTTATGTCATACTTTCAGTACATTCTTGAGTCAGATAATCTTTTAAATCTTCAATTATGTAATCTTATCTTCTGGACATCAAATTAGGGCATATTATCTGATTACAATTGAATACATGGTTTAATAAAGACAGGAAATTTAAGACGGATGGACCCAGTAGTCAAGGGTGTGGTTGTTCAGTGTATATGAAATTTAATCACTTTGGATTTCAAATATTTTTTAAACTTACTGAATTTTTCAATATTACTAAAGTGTTTAGATTCAATACCTAATATAATCAGTCAGAGGTATTTAGCTAAGGATTTAGCTAAAAATCTTCCATTGCTTTCTTGGCTGATAAAAACTGAAGTCAATTTTAATTGTAGCACAGAAAGAATCCTTAGTAATAAAGACACAATAATTTGATATTAACGTTGCCTTTCCATCAGAAGTCCAAAAATGCTATTGATGATTTATGCTAATAGTAAATCATCAATAGTAGCCTTAAGCCTAAAACTAGTCCTGGGAAGAATAAAAACTGAACTGAGAAATTCTTCACAGCAATACTTCCTTTGTATGTGGGGAGTGGGAAGGAGAGGACGGTTGAAGTTAGTTGAAAGTGTCCTTCATTTCTCCATACAGTATCATCTCCATCAAGACTCTTCTCATTTTAGTAATTTCTCATTTGCTATGGCAACATTGTAAACTTCATCCCAACCTTCCAATGGAGTATGCTAGTCCAGCTGACTTGGAACAAGCATCACTAACCAAGGAAAATGTTTCTGACAGGCCTGTGTCTTGTAAGAGACACTTAAGGGCTGAGAAATTTCCATTGTTGCCCTTGCATGCCTTTATCCCCCATGGTTGTTTTACCCCATCTTCTTTTTGAACATGACTTTGGTCTCTAAATGCTCCTCTCTAACCCTCATGACAAAATCCAGGTTGTCCAAATAATGATTGCTAATTGGAAAGAATAATCCCTCCATCCCCAAAACCAGCTGACTTTAGCAGACATGGTTCTTCTCCCCTAAAGACCATAAAACCTCCTGCCTCTTTAACTTAGATGCTCCTTTACAAATCCTGAAGCCAGACATTCCTAAATAAAGGTGCAACCGATGCTCTGGTTTATTTTCTCCAACATCAATTTTGTAGGATTGTATTCAACTGAAAGGAATATGCACATTGGTGATTATAAAAGTAGACAGCCTTTATCTTTGCACACTTTTTAATTCAGGAAGTTTCTCTAAAGTCCTAAAATGATTCAGAATACATTTTTGGTGTATCAATCAAATATCAGTTTCTTCATGTTATAACATGTCTGAGTGTCCTAATTAAAATCTATTAAACTAACCTCTTCAGGCTCAATCAGCTTAAACTCCATGCCTCGACCAGTCCAGGCAATAAAATGAGAATTTGAAGGGTCATCCAGAAGAGCTACCAAAAACTGCCAGAGCTGAAGTGATCCTCGCCGTTGGTATGTTGGTCCTTCCCGATACATTCCTGGCTCCTGTTTGATGTCCCCTGAATTAAAATAATTTAAAGTTTCTATTATTAGCAATCTCATGCTATTTACATAAAATTTACATTAAATCAGTCACTAATATGGTCACACCACAATCAACCACTTTATTATTATTAAAAAGGAATTTAAAATAGTTAAATGGTTGAATATATTATTAAAGAGGAATTTAAAGTGGTTAAATGGTTGAATATAAACGAGCAAGCTGTACAGACTTACAGATAACTATATACAACACAGGTGCAGAATAAATCCTGGGTCAATATGAATGACGCACCTCATTTACTTACAAAAATATTGTGGAATTATCTTTTATAAAAATTGATTTCTTTAAAAACCATCATATTTCATCAGACTTCTTTACTTTTATTAATGCCATTACCCACTGCTATAAGCAATACTGAAGAGGAAATAATCAGTCTTAAGCTCTGGGCATTTTATTCATACAAATTAAATTCTGCAGACTATCATTTATAAATACCTTATTTACCTGCTTGTGATGAACTATCAAAAATTTTAATGCAAATATCCCAAAGCAAATTTAATAGTATCCTAAACTGACTGAAGTAATCTTCACTTTATATAAATTAGGAAAATCTTGTGGGCAATTCAGGGCATACTGCATAACCATAGTACTATCCATCCTTCACAACATCACATAGCTTCATACTGAAGCTACTACTTTTTTAACTGGCAACAAACAAAAATTCTCTCTCATTTTCTTTATCTTTTGTTTGTATTTCATTCACTTGAATTTAACTTGCAATTGTTTTTTCTGAAAGTTCAATTTAAAAATACATGCACCAGAGATTTCTGTAAGTATGTATTTTTAAGCACAAAAAGTTGGTGTTAACATTTATTTGATATTCATATTTAGTGTGAAAATCTGTTAAACAGCACAGCAATAAAGGTGCTAGTGCTGCAATGCTTCTGGTACAAATCTGGTCAGTGACCTTAATTTTACAATAAAAAATGCAAAGTTTTATGACGTCTGATTATTTACTTCTATCTACAGACACATGTCTCAAAAATATGTGGAACTGCTCACACTGGGGACTGAGTGTCTAGGGTCCTGCAAGTATACCATTGTTTATGCATAAATTACTCTTCTCCACTAAAGAAACAATTCAGATAAAATATACTAAGCCTATGATGTCACACTATGCATGAATTATAAAACAGACCAAATCGCATACTTTTTAAAACTTACCCATGGTCAGCAGAGAGATATATATCTCTTAAAATTATTATAGAAAGGGCAACATTTGAAAAGCCTAAACCAAGATATAAAATGTATGAGTCAATAGCTGCTAAAAATCATTATGTTGTTTTGGTCTTAACAGGGTAATACAGAAGTGTATCTTCATATTGATTTCAATGACAGTTTATTTATCTCAGTTTTTCCTTGAGTTTTACAATTTATTTTTTATGGGAGTAACTGAGCAATTATGCAGATAGAGTGAAACATTGTGAAATTTTATAGTCTCTATATTGCTTCTGCCTATAAATGTGACTGATTACACTGACCATATACAGTGAAAAAATAACCCCCTCTATTTTCTTTCTTCTTGTTCTACGTTACTTACAAAATAAAAGACAAACACTATCTTCCAAAAAAAAATGTTTTATTCGTATAAAATTTAACAGTATTTAAAAATCTAAGGGAATAATCAAGTCAGCTAGTTCTCTAAATATTAGTGTGACCTTGGCCTGTCAGATTATATTGTAATTCTGTCCATAATTTTGAGACAGTTTTCTTCCTTATAAGCCCTTATTAATTTTCAAGATCTCTGAAATATGAAGCTCACCAAACATGAAAGAAACTAACGAAGGTCATTTCAAGAATAAGAGGCCTCATAGGTTGTCTGAAGAGAAAAAGCTGTATTTTAAGAATTCTGATGCTCTGCTAATGTTGCTAAATAGTACAATTCACCCCTCTGATACGAAAAGCTTAAAACTAAAATCTATTGTAGAATAAAACCAAAAATGTGATTCCTATTGAGCTTTTTTTTTCTTTTTCTTTCTTTCTTTTTTTTTTTTTTTTTTTTTTTTTTACCTTGAGTGAATTTTTAAAGGGAAGAGAAAGAAACAGATCTTCCCTAGACTTACCAACCCTTCTGAGAAGGGTAAAGCTAGCAAAAATCTCAGGGAACATAGGATAGTCTTCAAGCAACTAATTAGAAATTGAAAAGCAACCTGAGCGTGTACTTTGCTGTTTAAATAATAACAACTTAAAACTTCAGGGAGCACCCAAGTCATTATAGCCATGACCCCCAAAGTTTGTACAATCAGCTGATCAGAGGGCCCCTGGCTCGTTTCCTGTTAAACAATCAAAGCAGGAAATATGAAGACAAGTGTGAAGAACCACTAAATCAATTAACTGTTTACTTTTTACCCAAGCTTCCTCAAGATGAAAACTTTTGTTGCCTTTGTCAAAAAAAGTAAATTCTATTTAACTTGACACACTTTTCTAACATCTGAGACCTTTGCATTGCAATAACAAGTGGTGTTAAAAAGGTAATACTTTCCTAACTCCCTTTCAAACAATTACAAAGCAATGTTACATTAGTAACATACATCTTCCCCAGACAAAAAAAAGGGGGGGACTAACAATCACTAACGAAATGGGCAGTTATGTTGTTCCTGTGTTCCATAATGCATCTTTTCATGAACAATAAAAGAAGAGAGGTTGCATTAGTCATCAGTACATCCACAGTAGCAGCTTTCTGCTCTGCTTTGTAATTACAGGATCAGCTTTCAATAAATCTCGAATAACAAGCTGCATGTGCTCAGCAGAGCAATGGAAAGCCCCCTCTTACTCTACACAGAGCTCAGCAAGAATGATGCTCTTTGGCTACTTCTCCAAAAATGGACTCAGTCCCCTAAGACAAAAGAGAAGGTTTTTTTACCAGGGGAAAGAAAGAGATAAATTGTAACAGGTCAACGTTAGCTAGAATTAAGTGCATGATGAATTATGTGCATAGAAATCTTTAGGTAGGGATGTCCACGGTTTTCAGAAAAGGCGAAGGTAATCGCTCCATCTTTTAAAAAAAGCAAAATTTGAAGCAAAGTGTAAACCTACCATCGAATTTTTCTGGGACAACACAGGTATCATCATAAAACTGCCTGGGGCCTTTTTCAAACATACAGCCTGTGGATGAAAAAGGAATACATTTATTCGTGATAGAAATGAAGCTCACACTTAAAAATATAACAATTTAACATAAAAATTGTGATCAAAAATGACTCTGCCACCTTTCAGTTCCGTGACCCTAGTCATTTAACCTCTGTGCCTCAATTTCCTCATCTATTAAACAGGAATGACAGTAACACCACCTACCATGTTATAGGGTCGCTGTAGAGATTTAATCCTAGGGATTAAATGATTTAATATATGCAAGCTTAGACTGATGGATAGTACACAGTGATTTATATAAAAGTTAGTTATTTATATTATTGCTAACCCAAGCCAGAGCTCATATAAACACTGGCAAGGATTTATAATATCTTGTCTCTTTTTCAGATTCATCTAAATTTTATTGTTCAATGAAAAAGTGAGAAAGCAAGGTGAATTACTGCTATTTACTTTACATTATTCTCTGATGCTCTGAGACAGATTTATTTTATCCCCTTACTTTCTTGTGGAAATATTTAGATGGGTTAACCTTCCTGTACTCAATTAGCAAGATAAGAGGAAAAGCAAGTTTCCCTTTTTTTTTTTTTTTTTTGCTGTAACACAACTAAGTCCACAGAAAAAGTTGTAAAATAAATCAACAGCTTTTCATAATAATTTCCTCTCCAAAATATACTCTGCTGTGAATTTTTGTTGTTGCTATCTTTAATTACCAGGAATAAATTTCGTAAGAGTTTACTTTTATTTCTCAAATGTATTGCTCTCTATGGTCAGTATATAATATTAACAACAGAAGCAACAATAATTACATTGCATTTGTGTGAAACTTTTAATTTCATATATTTTATATTTACCATCTAATACTGCCCTTTAAAATTCTACTAATTTCATTTATACAAAATAACCAATATTAGATCAAGCCTAAAATGATGCATCCAAGTCAATCTTATTAAAGACACATGGAGTGTGTAGGTTACAAACCATGCATATATTTCAGAAATCCTTTACTGAGGATAATATCCAGAGGAAATCATTTTTACCATTCCTTTTTAGGTATCAAAGTCCCCTAGAGGCCAAGCTTTCCTACCACGGTTACAACAAGCCTATCCAAAAGGAAACTGCTTCTCCAGGCCTCCTAGGTGAAATCTCATTCATATAAATTATTTGTCCAGGGCTGGGCGCTGTGGCTCAACCCTGTAATCCCAGCACTTTGGGAGGCCGAGATGGGCGGGTCACGAGGTCAAGAGTTCCAGACCAGCCTGGCCAATGTGGTGAAACCCAGTCTCTACTAAAAACACAAAAATTAGCTGGGCATGGTAGTGTGTATCTGTAGTCCCAGCTACTCTGGAGGCTGAGGCAGGAGAATAACCTGAACCCAGGAGGCAGAGGTTTCAGTGAGCCATGATTGCGCCACTGACTCCAGCCTGGCAATAGAGGGAGACTCCATCAAAAAAAAAAAAAAAAAAAAAAAAGAGTCCCAAAATGTAAAATCCAGAACAGTTAACAGTGAAAACCTTTAAATTGATGGTGTTTTATTCCAAAACTATGACTAGATCTGTAAAAGCAAAACCAATTATTCCTTGAAGATATATTTCAGCAGAGTTCATAAAGTGGGCTAATCTATAAAGCGTATGTTCTATTTTAAAAGAATGTGGTTGTTGGCAAAAAAGAACACAGAAATCCACTTTTCAGTTGTTTTTATGCATGTGACTCATGTTAACAACCCAATACAAAACAGCACTACTTGAAACATCTTTTTACTTTGGAGATAGTCTCAATTGCTTAGGGAACATAAATGATTTTTCCCAAATAATATAATGAAATGACATCATGTTAGGGATGTCTGATTATTCTGAATGGTATTTACAAGGGGTTTCAATGATGGGGAACTTAACTTCTGTTCTGCTGGGATGAGTCAGGAAGCCTTCTTGCCTCATATAAATGGAGTGGCAGCTAGGCACTTCTGAAAGAGGAAACGACATTGGTCAAAAAGAGCCTGGAGATGAAATGCTGTGGTTATCAGTGGACAGGGTGCAGACAGAAAAGTTACAGAAACTGACAGGGTTCCCATGTGGGGAACACGTCAACATATAATCAACATTTCGGGCAGGGCCCACACATGAAATGAAAGAATGAAGAATACATCATGGTGAATGCTGATTCTCTTGAACAGGAATGTGCATTTAAAGCATTATCCAAATAAACCTTGCTAAAGGTCAGCTCAAACAGCAACCCACATGAACGTGATGGCATCCTTGAAACAGGGTCACAAGTTTTAAATATGCACCAGGAACATTTACCAAATAAATTTGTATAATCCCATAGCATTCTATGAATATAGCAACATTTGAAACATTTAGAAGCTTTCAAGTTGAAAATACTGTAAAATGTATTATCAAAAGTTTTATTATGCCATTATACTATGCCTTCTTTATATAAAGCATTATGAAGCTTATAATTCTGACCATATACAAGACAGAGTTAACATTGATTCCCAATATCTGCATTTATAACAGGATTGTGGTATAGTTAATCTTTCAGGTTACCACATAGTTAGCAATCCATTTCAGCCCAACTTTTTAACCAATGGTACTTCGAATTAATTTTTAATGCTGTTTTGATTTATTGCCAGGCGTAAGGTCCCTTTAAAGCAGCTGGGACTGGAAGGGACAGTGTTAATAACTCTGTCAGCTCAGCAGCTGCTTTGAGGCAAGCATTTTGTTGTGCTAATGTTGACACCCTGCCACAAAATACTTTTATTGACTGCTGCACACCTGGATTGCAGCTATAAAAACAGCTGGCTGACTCTGGAGGCAGCTAAAGGAAAACAGATAGGCTAAACTCTATTACATATAAGTGTGACTAAATGCAGTCTTTCCTTCCCAGAGGGGGAGGAAAGTGGGGAAGAAGGAAATACAAATATTTCTGAGAAACTCACTATTTAATGTCAAGGAACACCTTATAAAAGTGTTATAACATATTACAAAATTAGCATAATCCTGGAAAACTAGACATTTTACATCAAATTTGAGATGTGATGGATAATTTCACTAATACATACTATTCCTATTCCAATGGCTGATTTGCTGTTTATTGCTATATTATTGCAATTATCTGAGATATCAGTACAAAAATATTATATTTACTTTATAATATTCCTAGTAAATTCTATTAATCTATTATATTTCATGATATATTGATTTAAAACTCATAATACATTAATGACTTATATAAAAAGGCTAATGCCAAAATCTCTATTACACTTCCAAAGGCCCAACTTATGAACTAAATTCTCAAAAAAGCAATGAATGGCAATTTAGAAATATATGTAATATTGTGTTTTTGGCAATTCCTATTACTATTTGTACTCTAGTACTAGCTCTAAAAATGGAGACCCTTGGCTAGCATTGTTTAAATATGGTCTATACTTAATTGGTGTCCTTTATACAGTCCATAGAAGCCTGAAAAAATATGGCCAAGAGAAGATTATTCCCATAAAGTAAGTAAAGTCATGTTATCCTAAAGTGATATCAGTTAATTTATGACTATCAGAGTGGGTCAGACGCTAATCAAATTGTAGAAACATTTCCAAAGTGATTATTCAATCAAATGACTAACATGGTTAATTAGGAGCCATAAACATTGCTCTGAAGTTCATCAAAGTAATGACTTGCCCAGAAAAATTACTGCTAATTAAATTGCCTGCTGCTTTCATTTCTACCTTATCTAATAAAAAATCCAACCAATGAAGTTTGGCATTACATTTTAACTTTTGTTAAATGCTTCACTATGATCCAAACTAGCTAAGCGGCGACTTCAAAGGCAAATGTTTTGTGGCAGAGAAAGGAGGCATTGCATATGCATTCACTTCTGTATTTTCACAAATAAAACGTACAAAGTTCAACAACAAAGTTCAAAAAGCTGTAGTTTAACCCATGCAAAAATATTAAGATGACAGCTTATTCATACTGTCTTATTATGCATCCACAGATTGCAGTTTTAGGATAATTAGTACAAGTACAACACAATGGTTATAAACATGCACCTTGTCATCTGATAGACAGATTTTGAATCTTAGTTCTGACATTACATGGGAGTATGACATTTTGTTTATATTTAACGTCTCTAACTCCCAACTTCCTCATCTGTAAAATGGGAATAATAATAATGACATCCTTAAAAGTGTTTTTGGGAGGAGCATATGAAGTAAGTTATGTGCAATGTTTTGCACAGTATCTGCACACTGTAAAAATTCACCATATGGGACTTATTATTAACAGCAGACTCTATTTTTAGGTGATCCTCACAAATATCTAAACTGAGTACTTTGACCACAGTACTTAAAACTAGAGATAATTATATATCTAAATAAGTTACATTTGTTATCTTAATTTGCTGTTCTTAAATTACATGAGATGAATGATTTGTTGATTATTGGTATACTTATTCTGGAATATTTTCACAAATCAATTAATCCATGATATTTAAAATACACTAAAATTCATTATAAACTTATGATTTATAAGGTTTAAAGCCAGACTCTCCACTAGATGCTTTAACTATTTGGGGGTACCTCTTTTGAGCTTCTTTTTACCATATCACCCCCCCTCGTGTTAGCTCCTAAAGGGCTCTGGCTTTAAAAGTTTTAAATTAAATCTAAAAATTAAATTATGTAAATTTAATTTAGGACAAAGAATTTTATTTATTTCAAAACTTGTGGATCAAAGAGCTCTATGACATATTAGTACTGGCCAAATCAGCTTACAGAAATTAAACTGCCTATAATTTGTTACAGATGAGTTCATGGTGATGAAAGCTGATCTACTATGCTGCAAAAATTCAAAGCAACAAAGCACTGTTGTCATTTTAATGCACTAATCAATGTAGCGGAAGTTAAGAAGAATAATAAACTAACACCCCAAATTACCTAATTTGATTAGTCTTCACGTTTAGCAACATTAGTAAAGTTCTCTTCAAATTAAGATATGCACACAGAAATTTTTTTTAAAATGTTACCTTCTTCTCTGTCTTTTGATTTGCATTTTCAAGCTATGCTGGGAAACATAATATTGATTTGGGAAGCTTTACCAAAGGTTTGACCACAAAGTGCAGTTCTGAATTTGCACATCTAAAATTGCTAGGCACTCTCTGATTTGCATATTTGCTGCCTCTAGGGCAGAATGGAGGTTCTCCTTTAAGATAGATTTTGCTTAAAATTTCAAGGAGCTACATCAGGCCAGGGAAAAAAAAAAGATTTGCCGCAATTATCTGAGATATCAGTACAAAGGTCGCTGAAATTGCTCTGCTATGAAATAGTGAGCAAATCTGGAATTATTACATATTATAAATGCTAAATAAGGGAGAAAAACAAACAAGTCTCTTCCATTTGATGGTTCTGCTTAAATTCCTCTAGCAATAATGAGTGTGTAACTTAATTAAGAATTTGAATCTCTTAGAGTAAATGAGAAATCTCAGTAAAATATAAATGTTTGATGTTATATTTTAATGTAGATTTGCTTTCCTATAAGTATATAGTGCAAAGTTGGATTGCCTATACATTTGACTAACTCACTGTGGATATAATACTATAGAGTCAAGTCCACATAAACTTGTCTATTATATATGAATGATTTCTAAAACTTGGTACATTAAATATTCAGAGCCAAAATGTATATGTAAACACAAATCTGAAATTATCATGTGCTCAGTAAAAAGTGTGTGTATCAGTGCATACCTAGGAGTTTCAACTAGCTTTGCAACTAGTTATCAAATAGATAATGTCTACTATCTAAAAAATATTGAGTTGTATTAAGAACTAATGTTACCATCTCATTCAAGAAAGATAAGCATAGTGGCAGAATCTTGCCAATATTTTACCTCTTTTAAACTTAGAACTTTACTAGATTTTTTTGTTTGCCTACTTCTTCTCATTTCCTGGTAGGCTCACAGTTTATGCTTAAAATCGAAAGATTTTCAAGGGTGCATCAATAACCTGAGTTTTATGCAGATGTGTTTAAATGGAAACACATCACCTATATGCCATATTTTTAGCCTGCTTTTCCAATTGTCAGATGTCAAATTGAGTGTAGTCAATTGAGAAAACTTATTTTATAAAGTCTCCTAGAATGGATGATAATGGAAATAACAATTTTTTTTGCCTCTTTTACCATACATGAACACTCTATTGTAGAACAAATCTAAAAGTAATTATCTCCCAAACTAAGGACCTGTACATCTGAATTCATGTGAGAATGATAGCAAAAAAAAAGTCAAGCTTTATAAGACCTATTTGCTGTTCATCAGGAAGCTCAATGTGAACATAACATCTTAGTTATTGAACTTGATGTGATGTAACGACTTAGTGAACTTCACATGAATGTAACATCTTAGTTACTGAACCGTATGTGAAGAAGTCAGCAAAGCTGGAGAAATCCTGACAAGGGAGTGATGACTTTAGTTTTACCTCACTCACACTTAGATGGGATCTTTCTCTTTAGGGTTTCCAGTAAACTGTGAATATAAATAATGTAAAATCTGCAGAGATATTTATTTCACATGGCTTAGATGTACTGAATCTACTGTTGCCAGACTGATAGGGAGAACTATGTAGCTTTTAGATGGTTTTAATATGCTTGTAGTAGCATTTGCAAAATCTTTAAAAAAATAGAGAAAACTAGGGGCCGGACATGGTAGCTCATGGCTGTAATCCTCACATGTTGGGAGGCTGAGGTGGGCCAATCACCTGAGGTCAGAGGTTCAAGACCAGCCTGGCCAAAATGGCGAAAGCCCATCTCTATCTACTACAAATACAAAATATAGCCATACCTGGTGCTGTGCACCCATTATCCTAGCTACTCTGGAGGCTGAGGCAGGAGAATCACCTGAACCCAGGAGGTAGAGGTTGCAGTGAGCCAAGATCACACCACTGCACTCCAGCCTGGGTGACAGAGTGAGACTCCATCT